CAGGCTGAACAAGCCCAGCTCCCTCAGCCTCTCCTCGTAGGAGAGATGCTCCAGTCCCCTCCTCATCCTCGTAGCCCTCCGCTGGACTCTCTCCAGTAGCTCCTCATATTTCATGACCTGGGGAGCCCAGCACTGGACACAGGACTCCAGATGGGGCCTCACTAGGGCAGAGCAGAGAGGAAGCCATGCTCACTCCCTCTCAGATACCAGCCCATGGGAAAGTCGGGCTCTGTCGGTGTCGAGCATGGCATCGTCTGACCCATCACATGTTGCCACTAAAGCAAACGAAACCTCTGAGGACAGGATCACTAGATATGGAGGAGGGGGAGCGTTGGTTCTCCGTCAGCTTTTTGAATGAATCTGATCGAAAACTTTTTCTGAGACAAGTTCTGGGTTTGCCTTGCCGCCTTTGCCTCGCGCTCCCACCCGTATGCTAATATTGCGGCGGGCGAGCGGGGAGCATCTGCCATCGCTGTCTGTCTGTCTGCGCCTGCCTCGCCTTTCCGCGGTGCTGCCTCGGGAAGCCTGCCTGAGGGGTTGCTCTTGAGTCTGCAGGCTGAAGCCTTGCTTGCTGGATGGGTCCTGGTTTCCTGTAGGCTGCTGAACTGAACTCTCTGCGTAGGATTGCTCTTTCCAGAGTGAAATGCCAGACTTTTTTCTCAAGCCAGTCACTGCTGACTGTGTTGGAATAGATTTAAGGTCGAAAGCCCAAGTAACTTCAGCTGTTTGCTCAGAATGACCTGTTTTAAAAACGTTTGGGTTTAGCCATGTGTCTGTCCCGTCAGCGTATAGGGGTGTCGGTGTTTTAGGTATTGCAGATCCTTAATGAAACCATGAAAACACGGGGAAAATGCAGTCAGTTCTAGTGTTTCCAGGTTTTACCTTTTGCTCTGCAAAGAATGGTATGTAACCTCATTAAGTTCATTAAGGCACCTTAGTTAGCTGACTAAAAACCTGAGGTTTATGTTTTTATGATTTCTTAAGGCTAGAAAAAAACAACAACAAAAAGGGATTGGACGAAGCTTCATTTACCATGATGGCATAAAAAATAGTAGTAATTAGGAACAACTCTTGCAATATTAACACATGTTGCAATCCACCTTATTTGCATTTTGAAACTTGCTAGTTTCAGGACTGCTTGAAGCTATTTTAACGTGTCCTGCTTTAGGAAGATGCGAACCGGTTGCTCAGGTAAAGTAAAACACTTCCAGTAGTTTCTGGTAGGATGTTTTTTGCCCCTGTCCGCATATATCCGTGGGTCTTCTGGCCTTTGTGATTAGCATGAAAAAAGCTATGGAAAGAAGGGAAATACTTCACGTATATTATACTAGATCAAAACCCAGCTTTGGAGGTTATCCCCTTCTGCGTAACGATCTGAGCCTTCATCCTTCAGGTTTTGCCGCTGCTGTTGCCTAAAACCCTGTTAAGAAACCCCTTAACAGGATTTTTGTTGAAGATGCGAGACTGCAATCTGCTCATCGCCGACTCTGGAATTCTTTTTCATGTGGGAAAGTGGTAGGAATAAATGTTTCGAGTTTGAGGACGCCTTCCAGCGTGGTTAGCAGTGATGCAGAGCTTCTGCCAAACAACCGCAAAATTGAAACAAAAAAATACTTAGCAGGCAGCTCATAGCTTCGAGTTTGTTGATTTCACTGCAGATTACAGGTTTGGAAAAAGTAGTCATTTATGTCTAGAGAAATAACTAACTTTGGTTGTGCAGAAGTAGTCCTGTTACTGAACCAAAGGGAAACATATATTAAAAAAAAAAAATGTTTTTGTGCCTGGAGGCAGGACTGGCGTAGGGAATTTATCTTTTTTTTGTTTTCCCCTCTTTTCATTCTGTTGTAGCTGTGAGGCAGATTTCAGCAGTGCTATATTTAAAACAAATGAAAATCTGTTTTGATCCAGTAAGTAGAGCAGGCCAAATACATTCAAAAGAGTTATGTCAGTCTAGCTCTGTTGGGGAGAAAAATGTTAATAAACGCAAAGTTGTTCAAATATGTAGTTGGGTACAAAGTGGGTTTTGGTTTGTGTGCCTCGTACAGATGAATAATATTCCCTCAAAGCCTTTATCGTCAGGATTTGGCA